GTGAGCACAGTGCTGGATTCCAGTCCGTGGCTGGAAAAGTGAAAGGGGAATAGAAGAAAGAAAGAAGCCATCCATGTAACCACAGACCTGACCTCAGCACCGTGCCAGTTTTTGGAGTGGATTTAGAAGGAAACAATAATCAAGGACATAGAGGTAAATGGATGCAATATAGATTTCCTCCAGGCAAAACTCATTGGCTGTATTTCTTTGATTAAAATAACTGCTTTTCCAGACCAAAGAAATGTGGTAGATTTAATCTATTTGGTTATAAGTAAAGAACTCCTTTTGCTGCACTGGAAATGCTTATGTGAGTTGGAGAAACCAGTGATATGCTGGGTAACACGGATATCAACCTGTATAGTTCATATAGTAGGTGAGAGCTGGCCACAGCGTAGTGCTGTAAAGGAATATCATGTATAAAAATAATTTAGATTAAGTTACCAGTGGACTTCCTGAAAGATCTGTCTTGCAATCGGTATAATTGAGTATGTTCATTAATGGCCTTGGCACAAAAAAAAGAAGAAAACAGTTGAAAAATTGTGGGAAATGCTGGCAGTACAAAGTCTAGAAGCATTGTCAATGCAACAGAGGATTAGGAAGAACTGAATAACCTTGAATACTGCAATACAGAGATAGGATGAAAATTAATAGCATACACTGCAAGGTTGTGTGCTTAGGGACTAATAACAAGCATTTCTGTGTTAAAGTAAGATTCATATGTTGAAACAAATGCAAAGGAAAACATCTCGAATGGCTATAAGCCACAAATACGATGCAGCCACGAAAAAAGCAAAGCACGTATCAGGAGAGTTATTGTCAATAACGACAGAGGAGCACGAACGCGACTGTGTAAGGGCTAAATTGGATTGAAACTGGGATTCTTAGTACAATTCTGGTCGCCTATTGAAATAATGTAAATTAAAGTACTATTAGAAAAGGTTACTAAGGTGACCAAGGGAACAAAGAATTGATGCAGCCTCTGATCCAACAACAAGTTAGAGAAAAGTAATGGATTTAGCTCAGCAAAACAATGGGAGAAGGGGATAAGCTGGTTTGCTGTATCATACGGCACTTGGCCCAAGGCAAAGAGCTAGGGAGGGAAAATACTGTGCAAGGAAACGGACACAGCTGATGCAAGAACAAATGGCTGACACTTTTTTATTTTAGTAGAAGTGTAAATGTAGTTCAAATGACAATGAATAATTAAGGCTGGAAATAAAAGACCCACAGGAACAGCAAGGTCACAGGAGAACCTTCCAGTGAGGGAAGGAGACTGTGGAGCAAAATCAGCTTATGTAAAGGAGTCTATGACATGCTGCTGGTAGTAGGAGAAAACTAATCCTTGGACTCAGGAGATACTTTCAAGACCTAAACAGTGAAAATGAGAGCTCAGGTCTCCTGTGCTGCTCTGTAGATGAAGGCAGGGATTTCTGGCTTTCATGCGGCTGTTACGCATCTGTGTAGGAACGCAACATGTTCAGCCGGTCCCTGAAAGAACTCAACTTCTAGTAAAATCTATTAGAGCAAAGAGGAGGAAAATTACCAGTGTTTGCATACAGGCCATTACAAGTCTAACAGTGGGGAAATTTCACGTGCTTTTGGTTCTTCTCCTGCATTAGAGGGGAACAGTTTCATATTCATGGACCCGACCACGCATGTTGAAGTGTGTGGCCACTGGCCGACCTATGTTTTCAGTAATAACAGCTGATGTGATCTGTGATTTCTGAGTCTTGTGCCAACATGAGTGCTGGGTTTGCCTATATATTTGGGTTGGTGTTCAGTGTGCTGGAAACAACCCATACGCACCGCATGCAAGAATCCAGATTCCATCTGGTTACAGCAGGGTTTTGTAAAAAAATATCTAAAGAGCTAGGCAAAGGATTAGAATAAAGAGGTGCTAATAGGGTGCAGTTGGGACAGGAAAGGAAGCTGTAAAGAATTTAATGGAAAAAGAGGGTCAAGAAACATAAAAAATAAAATAGGAAGAAAAAGAGGCATTTTTTTAAAAGGTGAAGGAGTAACAATAATAAAGAATGAAAGATTCTTTTATTTTTGCCAGTTTCAACAAAACCCTTAAGAAAATTCTCTTCTCTGACATTTAATTTTAAACCATGTCAGTGTATCCAATCCTGTTTTCAATCCTACTGTTTTTTTTCAGATGCTGCGTTGCAGTTGCAGAGTTCTAATCTTCTGCTTGGCCTCATGTAACTACTGTCCCCTGCCCCACATTACTTGGCTCTCCCAAGAGGTGGCTGAAGTTCAAAGGAATATATGATTTGCAAAGCACTTTTGGGATCGTGCTGGAAGAAAGACACCATTATTAGTATCATACCCTTTTATTCTCCAGATCACTTTATAATGTGGGTTATTATTTTTTTTATTTTCATGACAATCTTAACAGCAAGTGTCTCCTCCTCTTCCTCCATCTACACAACATGATCTCACGCCATACCAAAGAGTTTGCAACCCAAATTATACTTGGATTGAAAAAGGAAGCAAATGGACAGCATGGGATAGTGATTTAAAGTTGCATGGGACACCCAAAAGAGAAGCAGACCCAGTTCTGTGCTTGCCACAAGACCCTTTCCGAGAAATAAATTGTCTGTAAGACGATTCTCCTCAATTTTGAGTAAAAGTGTAAACCTAGTTCAAAATGCACAAAACAGAGCAGGTTTACTATAGAAAGGAAAGCATCGCTCCTTCTTCTGAACTCAGGTAAAGGGCTTAGGTCTGAGTGGAAGTGGGAAAGGACCTTATTGTAACAAGATGCTACGACAGTTTTACCTGAAACCCTAAAACAAATTCAGGGCTCATAAAAAAAGCATTGACATGGTGAAAGAGAATGGTTTCTTTAAGATGTTCTTGGTCACAGAATATGCTAAGCATGCATTTCTAATATCTGGGTGGGCAAACACAAGTGGAAATTTAAATTCTACAGAGGCACAGAGAATGTGCTTCTGAAAATGTTTCCAGTCAAAAGCATGTTAAGTGTGAAAGTGTAGCCTGAACAGAGGGAGTGAGGGAGTGTGGTCTATCAGATCATCAGAAGGGATTCTGTGGCCTTTCCAGGTACTAAGCACATTTGGTGTTTGCTGTCACTGCTCTGAAAACAACAGATGAATGAGAGTGTCCCTGTGCCAGTGCTAATTGCTGCTGGGGAGAACTGTCCTGAGTTGAGGCTATAAATTGCCTGGTAACTCCACAAAGAAGAAAAGATACCTTGGAATAACATTAAGGGCTGGACCAAAGGAACACTATCTGGATATAGGAACAGAGTATTCCTTCCCCAGAAGGTTTTGTGTGTTTTAACCTAACCCTGGGACAGGCAGCAATGTCATGGTGAAAGCGTGAAACTAAGAGGAGACCTCACCAAGGGCTCGAGGTCATGGAGATCCCACTGAGAAACAGCACTGTGGGTCTTGCGGCTCCAACAGATCTGTTGGCCAAGACCTCCCTTTGTTGCTCTCAGCTAGAAGAGGCAGAAGGTGCCCACTTCTTCCACAGCTTTGGAAGTTATTTTTCTTCATCTCTGCCACCTCCCCACACCTGCCTGGGCTCTCTCCAGTCTCCTCCTGATGGCTTCAGAAAAGACCTAGAAGAAATTGTTTCATGCCAGGGCAGAAACACAAGCAGATGTGTCTTGTTTCTGTCTTACTCTCAGCAAAATGACAGAAATACCAGCATCACCGAATTTAGGGAACTTCCTCATGGAAATGACAGCTGTTTCTTTGAAGTCACTGGGAGTTTGGCTCTCCTTACACACCCGGAAGCACATGGGCTATCTCATCATACCTTTCAGTACCACTGAGAGCAGTACAGCAACAAGACTGTACAGCAGCAAGACCAGGCAGCGCAGACAGAAAACGACATCGAAGCAGCCCAGCCTCAGTGATGGATTACCTGACACTGGATTTCTCTGCTTCAGGGCACCTTATTCAAAGTGCAGGTCTAATTAGACGGAAGCGTGCTGTTTCTCATTTTCCCTATTGTTTCTGCCAGCAGGATCAGCTTTGTAGGTACGCCCATGGCTTGTCTGATTATACAAGATGCAACAGCTAGCAGGTCGCTTTGAATAAGCTTTTTCAGATGTGGTTGTGCTTTATCCTAAATTGATTTTATGTTCTGACTACTATCAAAAGTGGAGCATCTGCACTACTCCCCAATGATAAACATTACTGCAGAGCAAGTGAACTTTTTTGTTAGCTAACAAACTAAATAAAGTGATTTGCCTTCCCGTGTTTTGTCACTTTGGCCAGAAACATCTTTTTTATACAATGCAGATCAAAATTAATTCAACTCTTGTCAAATTAAAAAGAGAGTTTCCAATTCATTTTAGAACTTATTACTATTGGATCTCTCATTACTGCTACTGATGCAGAAGAGCACTCTTACTGAGGAAAGCATCTAAAATGTGTTTCATCGTTATTTCTTGATTTCAGCAAGATTCAGGTATGTTTCACAAACTATGCAGATGTTGCGAGACACTACACAAACTTGCAATGAAGAAGAGACACTCCTTGCCTACAGACTCCCACTCTAAACTGTGCTAATACAGCAGGTCAGTTACTGTAGCTTGAGGCTGTGAGTTGTTTGCAAGGTTATTTTGCAGCACTGTTTGACAATTAATCAGGCCCTACTCTGTGCCGATAAAAAAAAAAGAAGTTAGATATGCAGTCACTTCACTCTTATCTAGCTTTATACTGCAAGTTTGTTTGTCACTCAGGAGGCAGCCAAGGGGAAAAGAAAACTGTTCACAAACAATACATCAAGGCAGATTGCATGGAATCTGGCCTTACTGACCACAAATTAAATGGACTCCGAGGTAATGAAAATCTGACCTGCTCAACAAAAGGAAATGAATATTGCAGTTGGTTACTATGGCTAGTGATGTGTGCCAATACTTCTAGACATTTTCACTGTGTTCACCAGATGGAGGCTTTGGAAACATGTGATTTGTGAAGAAAAAGGATATTGGGTTTTATTATTTTTTAACTCCTTACCGTGACTGGCAGGGGTGTGTGTTACATTTCCTGACCTGGGGCTCAGGGCGATTCACTCGTTGACAGTCACTGTCATTCACCAGTGTCATGGTCTTGTTAATAATTCGGGTACAGGACACAATGGTTTTCCGTTCACCTACAAGTCAAAGAAAAAACAACTCTGCAACAGAAAACCAGTGGCTAGAACAAAACCATGTCAATTTGTTAACCACAACTCAAAAGCTAGGAGCTCCTTCCTATCTTTACAAGACGTAATCTAAACAGATCTACCACCTCTGCAAGTGATTTTATTTCCCACTTTGGTCGTACCTTTGTACTGTTCTTTGGTGGGTTTTTTGTTCAAAAAAGCTACAAATCTTTCCCCAATAATTGTGAAATTGACTGTTTCAAAGGAATAACACGTTGGGCTTTCTCCTCCTAGTGTTTAATGTGGAAACAATCTTGAAAACAATTTGCTTTCATTCCTGGTTCCTCCTCCACCTGTAGCTCTGCCCTGTAATCACCCAGGACAGATGCGCCAGTTGTGCGACCTGAAGCCACACAACCACCCGCCCCTCGGTGACTGATAATGAGAGGGCAGATGCCTCTTGCTGCTCACCAGCCAGGAAGAGTCAGGTTGAAAAGGAATGACCAGAGTTCAAGAGCAATAAACTGGGCTTGTTCATATTTCACAAAGAGGTGAAATTAAGCCAACAAAATTAAATTATTTCTCATCTTCTGGTCCTCTAGTTATACTTACTACTTAGCAAAAGGAGGAGACATCTCAGAAATAGTCAGTAGTACTCACATAAACTGCCTGTGCATCAGGAGCTCCACTGAGATGCAGCAGCGCAGCCCTCAGGGTTCAGCCTTCCACTGTGTGACACGAGGAAAGCTGGACCACAGGGCAGCATGGCAGTGCCCAGATGTGACAAGGGAAAGGCCAGCCCTGCACCACGTGACTTTGCCTTACTGCTAATTATTTTGGTTTCTCAGATCTTTTTGACCCTGAGCCTGTATCAAATTGAGTTTATTCATGATATGCAGCAGATAATAAAAAGGAAATCAAATTTTGTTCATAAAGGATTTGTAAAAGTCTGTACGGAAGGGAAAAGGCCCTTCTCAGCTTGGATAAGTATTAAAAGCATCTGACAACCAAAATATGAGAGATCAGTTGCCATTCAAGCTGCTACTGGTGGGAACAATGTTGCTAGGTACGGATTTGATTCAATTATGTGGCAGCCTTGCAACACAAATCAAAAGAGCCACAAACAAATTTCCTACTCATTCATGTGGCGGTTTAATGGCTCTGTAAAAACGTTGGTTTAATACATGAGTAAAAGTAAGTATCCATTTTAAAATTAATTCTATTTTCAGAATAAAATAAACCCATGATTTCAGTACACTGTGAACAGTGAGCCTGCAAATGTGAAGATGAGCACTCATTCCTTCTGTCATATAATATGATAAATAATCAGACCTGCTGGTGAAGAAAGACTGGCCAGAATGCACGGAAATGATCTGTTGTCCTCAGGCAAAAACCTACTTCTACCAGCACTGAAAATTCAATGGACAGTGGCTGACAAGCCAGTTTCTGGTTTCACAGGCCTCAGTTCTCTCCCCAGGGTTTCAGCAAATCTGTCTCTGCGCATCCTTAGAGTTCATCTGAGTTGCACATCATGTGAGCTGCAGCATGCTCACGCGCTCCCCAGAAAGTGCCCCCCAGATTAAAAGCATCTGATGCAAACTCCGGGAGCTGTCACAGCAGCACTGCCTCTCTTGCATCCCTGGAGAAGGAAGTGTCTTTCTGTGAACATGCCCAAACACCTGTGAAAACTCCGCTCCAAGAATGTGACGGAGGCTTGAGCGATGGGGCTGCACGCAGCGCCTCGAGCCATCCGGGGAGCACTAATCCAGGTGCAGTTCCAGCCGACGGTAATGAGCCGACAAAGCAGCATCCCTGCCAAAATGTGGGGTGAAAATTAACGGCGGGGATGGGGATGATAGCTGGGAGAGCTGGTGAGAATGAGTTCTCCCTGGAGATCATTATGGCAACATCATTCCCGTGGCCAGTTTCCTTCATGCTTTGGCAACACCGACCCGTGCAGGCACCTCTCTAAGGGCAGGTGTCTTCAAACACCGCACAGCAAGTCCCACCAAACTTCCAAACGGCCTCACCTCCTCCACACTGCACGCTGCAGCCTTCCCATCCGCTGTGCGTCCAGATGTACAAAGAATCCTGTTGCTTTTCTGGCTCGCTTCTGTTTTCAGCAGTATAGTTTACAGGAATGGTGTATTCATAATGAATTCCATAATTCTGGTCATGAAATAACAGCACCTGGTTCAGTAGGAAAAGAAAGGCTGTTACAACACACTGTGTACTGGGAAAGCCAACGGACTGCAGAGACAGTAATGCTGGAAATGCTGTCTCAGGCCAATATTTCTAAAATATAAGTACCTCATGAAAGGCAATCAAACCTATATCTAGTAACCTGAAATTACAGTCGTGGTGGTAAAACAGGGCATCTGCGGGAGCAATAACTGCTTATGATTTGCAAATAGCCATGGAGATGGCTAAATCTGGAACGCGGTGCGTAACTTTGTTTAAGCCTCAAATTCGATCAGCAGGCCACTGGCTATCTAAAGAGAAATAGTAAGACAACAGGATGCATTAAATTATCAGCTCTAATATAACAGCTATTTTAACGAGCATCTCACCACAGCTATCCTACCCTTCTTTTCTAGCAAGCAAGTTGACTGCAAGCTTCATGCAGACTCAAGCTTATGGTTGGGGAACCATTCTCTTTGTAGAGAACAGGGAAGTTCTGGTTTCACACTGGCTAATAGCTCTGGTTTATGAATCACACTTCTGGGCAGCCTGCTCTATGCCACCCTGCTTGAGCAGGGGGTTTGGATGAGAAAAGCTCCAGAGGTCCATTTCAACTTCAACCGTTCTGTGATTCTGTGCTGCAGCATTTACTGCTGCAGCAATCCATAGTTTAAAGGCAGGAATGTTGACTAACACATCTGATGGAACAAGGAGATCCTTCTCAAAGCTGCAAAAAAAAAAAGTCACATCCCTCCTGGGAAATGTGGCACTCAAAGCGAGCATGACTACTCCTGCTGACAAGCTGTAGGAGCAGGATTTTGTGGTCTCAGAAAGCTGAGGATGACAAGGAAGTGCCATATCATACAACTGCTGGCAACATACACATTTTCATACCCTGCATTTTGCTAGAGGTTTCACCTAACCTGTGTCCAGCTGCTGGCTGGTTATTTGCCATGGAGTCATGTGTGATGTCTGTAGCGTTGTTAGTCAAAAATTCATTACTAACTACTAACAAAGACAGAGCAACAGAGAAAAGTGCTTATTTTTTCACCACGGGCAGATGACAATTTTGGTCCTGTTCCTGTTCTGATTTATATGATAAGGCTTCATTTGACTCTCACTTTCACTGCCTTGAGTCAGAAGTGACTAGCAGATACCCAATGGAGTATGAGGTCCATGAAGTCCACGTGGCCATGCTAATACCCATGCTGATGGTGTAGCTTTAAATTTACTTATACTCATTATCCCATAATCTCAGCAGCACAAGACAGGTGGATTCTGCTGGCTCTCCTGACCTACTGAAACAGGAGCAGCACACTATCAAATAAGCTATTTTAAGTAAGGCTATCACAGGCGAGGCAAGAGGCTGTCCAACTGAAAAAAGCAAATTTGCAAATGCTATTTTCTCCCAACAATAATTGTTTCCCCTTCAGATTTGCACAAATCACTCCCATTAAATCAATAATTTCACCAGTAATTTTCACTGTCATAAGCATACTTAACCCCCAAAATAACTGCGTGTGCTGAAAGAAGGGTCCAGCTTGCAGCCACCGACATCCTGGAGGTCTGTACAGTGAACACCGTGGGCCTACACAAACTTGGTACCCATGAGTTGCTCTGCACAGTGCATAGCCCTGAGCAGGAAAGCACCCTCCTGAAGATATGGGGACCAAAGATACGATTTTGCTTCAGCTACTGAAGAAGCCTTACTACCAGAACTCAATGCCAAGGTTGAAACTAGCCGGCCATCATTACAGCTTCAGAGATGAATGCGTTTGTTTTAAAACAATTCAAAATACAAGGCAGTCAGAGGCAGAGAATTCAAATCCTGCTATGACTTTCTTTAAGTGCATGAGATAGGAACAGCTTTTTCTATAGAATTGATCAATCAGTCTTGTGTAAAGCATCTCTATGCTCTGGGAGTGCTTGGTTGGCGTCTGTTGCCAAGAGGACGTCTAGCACAGGCCTAGTTACACAAACAGTAATTTCTCCAAGAAACGTACTTACAGCAATGCACTTGGAGAAATGCCTCAAGTATTAAAAACCAGCTCCTAAAAAGAAATCCTTATTATCTCAATATGAGTGCAAGACTAGTGAATCTAAAGGCCCATATGAAATCAATTTAATGCAATTTCGTAGCCATATATAATTGGGGGGGGTGTGTATGTCTGTATAATTGGTTTCAAATGCAGGTCACAATGGACTGACTGAAGCTTCTGGCTCTTTGTCAGTCCAGTGTATTCCACCAGTGTTTGAACAACAGTTTTCTATTTAGAGGTAACTGGGAACCATCCTGCCTTTCTTGTGCTGAAAGAATGAAACCCACTACCCCGTATCAAGGAAAAGATTAGTATCTGATTTGCAGAAAAGATTTCACATGTGCTTTGTTTACGACTGGCAGTGATTTTAAGCCACATGTTTTTTTAATGGTCTAGTAACTTCTACTTTCCTCCTTTTTAATCATTTCTCAAGGTGGGGGGGAGGTGAAGAAGGGCAATTTCCTTTGCTCATATCTGCTGAAAATGCCAGTCTGTACCTGGAAAGGATACTCATGGAGAACCTCATAATCACTAACATTACTTACTCCTTAATGAAGGGGAAATGAGTATTTCTTTAAAAACAAAGCTCTACTGATGCTGAAGTTCACAAAATGCCGCTACCAGGTTGCACTGCAGTACACCTCAACCAAGTAACACCCTGGAAGATTCCAAGAGCTGGCAAAGCAACCTTGCACAGCATCTTCACAAACGGTACCTGTGCAACTCCTTTTTCTTACACAAGGTTAGGAAGCCCCTGGCAGTACAAGGTACTTTGACAGAGTCCTGGTTTCAAGAGGGAAGACTTGTGTTAAGGCCAAAATCGAGCAGAAGCTGATTTTTCTGATGATGAAGAAGGCTCCTGTATAAACGCCTCTGTGGGCAGACCTTGAATTACACGGCCAAGTCGGGAAGGTGTTGGTGTGCCCAAACCTCCACCACTGACTATTTCAGTAGTATCCTCTCTGAATCCAGCTTTGCACTGGTCTGGATGTGAACCTGGTAAACTCAATCATATGTCTCAGAAAGCAAAGATAAAACACCTCATGCTCCTATGCAACATATTTTAACACAAAGGAAGTACTGACAAAGTGAAGTATTATTATTATTGTATGTGTGTGTGAAGAATTCAAGCAACTTTTGAACTTTCCAAAATGGGCCATGAAATGTTGCGCAATGAACGCCACCAAGCCAAAAAATGCAGGTGAGGAGAGGGAGAGACTTCTGATTTTTAGCAGTGCTTATAGATAGCCTTCAGTGAACAAGTGTGGCAAAAAGTCACAACGAAAGGAAACAGCACACAATAAAATATAACTAGTTAGAAAAACTACAGGAAACAATGCCAACATTAAAATACTCTGTGTTTCTATGCAAACCTCGCTATAGAAATTTTAAACTTCCTGCAGGCTTTTATCTAGTAGCATGTATGTGAGACAGGCATTATTATAGCTATCCTACACACAGAAATGTTAAGGTTACCACCAACATTAAGGGGCTATGATTTGCCCCATCACCCACTGCTTGACAGGACAGGGACCATGATCCTGTTCTCACCCCTGGGGACTTCTCACTCTTATTCTCATGCAGCAGCCATATGACCGTTTATAAAATTACGTGCCTGGTTAACAGAAGGACTATGCTGAACATTAGGAAAAACTTTCAAGGACACCTTAAAATATGTCAAACAGAAAAAACAATATATAAAACCAAGGAACATTTTTGTGTGTAACTAAGTCACTACAGAGGCTCAGATTCACATGTATTGTCTGTACCTGCCAAATCTGCATTTCTTCTTTTAGAGGAACAGTGTATTTAAATACAGAACACATTTTGACATAAGCTGAGAAGATATTTCAGCAAATATATTTTCAAGTGTGTGAGCAGGTATGAAATAAAGAAGATCCCTGGAAACCTGCATCCTCTAGAACTGACCTGTCCCATTGTCTGCGAAACAGGAGTATCCTATACTGGACACAGCATGTTCTCCCAGAATAAAGCATCATTTATGTTTAAGTAGGGAGCTGGGTTTCTGCAGCCCTTGTAATGCTGCAAAACAACGCAAAGAAAGGCACTACAGTATACCTTAAAAAAACTCTGGCAAGGAAGCAAACAATCAGAATTAAACTTTCAGCTAGGACATAAACCCTTTATGTTGCATCACTTAAGAAACACAAACAAAGGATATAAAGTTACCATCAAGTGAAGTGGTATTTTAGTTGGTCCTTTGGCAGAGATTTTCTCCCACAGACCCCTTCGCACGTACCGGACAGTAGTGCCTGCGATCTGAAACTCACCAGGAAGCTCAATTTTCCAGTCGCTGTTAATGGATCTCTTACTGGAATCTTTTAAAGCTGGAAGGAATCAAACACCATGGAATGAAATGTAAGCAAATTTGTAATAACAGTATAGAGCTTCTGTTTCAGCCCACCTAAAGTGCAAGATGTAGCAACCTTGCAAGGGACATGAGCTTAAAAGAAAAAAAGAAACGTTTAGCTGATTCGTATTAATGTTTCCAACTTGGGCCTATTCGGTATTCCAGTGACGAAGGCATTTCTAGTCATATTAACATTGCTATAAAGTAACAATAATGTCATAAAACCTGATCTTGCTAAGGTTTTACTACCTGAAATTATTATGTTAGGCTTTCCAAATAACTAACATTCTCCAGTTAAGGACAATATAGAAAGTTTTACTGCACAAGTAAGTCTTGTAAGATGAATATTAAGATGAAAAGGCACTTGGAGTAACATGTCCTTTCTTCCAGTATAACCTATTGTAACAGAATCACCGATAGCCTTCAAACACTGAAAGACAATTCCAGCCATGAGGACATCACATCACTGTTATCAGTGCAAGCTGATTTAGAGATTTATGTCTTTTCTATGTTAGAACAGAAGCACAGTTGTGCTGATGCTAGTGTGATGCATCAAGGAAAGAGAAAATTGGCAGATCCTGTTCTAATAGAGAGAAAGTCCCAGGTCCCTTTGTGGAGATCCAAGCAGTATGACCAAACTTGCCCTGACATCAGACAGACAGAACACTCCATGTGTTAGTGAGCTACCTGAGGTCAAGGTTAACTTTCTTCTGCCTCAGCCTTTAACAAGATGTTTTCTAACCTCCAGCACTTCAACCTATTTTATTCTCTTCCTGCAAAGAACACAACCTTAGCTTTCACTTAACTGAGTGTGCTGTAAGAAGGTAAGAGAAGCCAATTCAAACCCTTTTCAAGTCAATAGGAAAATCTTCCGTTGTCATCTCTTTGGATCAAGTCCCTATATCGAGCAAACCCTTCTTTGGGTCCTGCTGCACACAAACTTCCCAATAACTCTCATGGTCCCACTAGAGGACTCAAAATCAGGGTGAAGGGAATCTGAAGATATAGTTTCCCCAGGAGTGGGATGTGTGTGTGTGAGGAAACTTATCTTTGGCACATAGATTAGGGGTATGATGATGCCCTGGTATCTGCATGCTACAGCAACAGAACTCTCTCTGTGGCTTACCTCTCTTCTTGCTTTGTTCCGCAAGCTACAAAGTACCTTCTGCAAACCTCAGCCAAAATTCTGAAGCAGGATTCCTTTTCTATGCCAAAGCCTAGTGGCTTCCAGGCAGATCAAAGCAGCCACCACACCAGCCTAGAGTAGCCGTGAACACGACTAATCAAAGCTGTGGATGAGATAAAACTACGTCCGTGCAGTACCGCTGGCTAGTAAAGATATCCCAGCACATGCTCAAAACAGTGTATAAGAGCTGGAATGACTAAAACTATGCTTTGGTTCCAGCTCATCATCAAAGGAAGATAGCTTGCTGATGAAAAACAAAACATAGACCTATGTGGATCTCTTTTCTGGGAAAGGTTTGATTTTGATTCTTGCAGACACTGCTCCCTTAGTGACTGAGGACACGGGGAGTTTGCAAACTTCTTGTTTCCCAAAGGTGCTCCTTGAGGACTGCAGGAACTGCACTGGACTCTCAGCAGAGTATTTGGGCCAAAGTGTTTTCCCCAGTGTTTGTCTTCATTGCACACAAGTGCCTCATCAGCAGGGATCAGTGCTGCAGCTATGAAACCTCCACATCTGTTTGACACAGAGCACTGGTCTTTCTCTAACGGCTTTTGTCACAGACAGCTATTGCAGACCCAGCTCCGACTAGCCCCAGAGACGACAGCACTAAATTCCTTGGGGCAAACAGGGCCTTTTGCTTTTTTTGAATGCTGTGCTCTTCATCCAAGCATTACAGAAGCACTTTGCAACACAGCAGGTATCTTTACCGCCGCTTTAGAGAAATAGCAAAGCGGGCAACAAAGAAGCTCAATTTCCCTGAGAGCTCAGTGGCAGGAGCTGAGATGACCAGGAAACAGAGAGTCTTCTCTGACAAAACTTATCTGACTGTGGTGGAAAAATCTAAACAGGAAAGCAGTTGCGAGCCCTTTTTGCCAAGCAGTCCTTAGTGATTTAAGCTAGAACCCACAGGATTTATTCTGCCTTGGACAGCTGGCTGCGGTTCTCCTGGGACGCTATGCTTCAAATAGGTTAGCAAAGCACAGCTCTTCCTCTTCTCTCTACTGTGGGTGCATTTAGGCAGCAGCAAGTACCCACCGTTACATCTCTGAGCTTTTTCTGGCTCAAAGCTGTACAGTAGAAGAGCAAAAGAAAAAGGAACCACAGCAACAACCTGTAACTTCCTTTTTTCTTTTGGCTGGAAGACAGGAATTGACCAATCTATTTCTAAACCTGGCATCTAGTCAGATCTTTATTTCCACCTTGGGTCCCTCCAGCTTGCTTCCCAGCCTGCGGACACAAACTGCCGAGGCATTTCCTGTTCAAGGTGGTTTTGAAGCGGTACAGCCAGCCAAAGCAGCCAGCGTGGGTTGCCTGTAGGTGGAGGGAAATTCTTCAGGCACACCTCCCAGCACATGGAATAATGATTCCAAATTATGCTGGGCTCATTTCCAGAGTGCTGTACCCGGTTCTGAGTGGAAATAGGACGTGACTGGACTCAACTTTGTCAGTATAATTGAAATAGAAAATCCTTCCACCCTCAGACTTGAATTTCCAATGCATTATGAGGCCTATCAGAGTGATTGGATTTTGTTTTCCTGCTCGTCTTTTTTGTCCTATTGGAACATTTCTGCTGCTACTCTTCAGCTTAGGTTAGCAGACATTTGGTATCTTTTCTTTGTGTCCAGTGTTCCTTGAAGGGGAAAACTCTGGAAAGCTTAGAGAAGTTCTCCTGAGTCCTGATCATGAACTAAAACAATTCAGAAGCTTTAAAACAGAAAGATTTTTATCTATCTTTATGTTATGCACACAGGGCCAAGTCCTGCTCTCAGATACACACAATCCTAATCTTCATCATCCAGTGGGGAAATAACTGCTTTAGTCAAGGTTACGTGGTCACAAGGAAGGGCAGTCGCTTGCTTCACGTAAGACTCTGTGCTGCAGCTATCTGCCAAAGACCAAACCCCGGACAAATACCCTGTGCAAATCCCACCAAGACAAACAAAAAGGCTGGCTTCCAGAAGGCCAAGAAACACTGGCTCTCATTGTTCCACCAGTGCTTTGCTATGTCAAACATCTTACGTGTAGGCGTAATCCTCTCCCGGCAAGCTGGCTACAGCATTAGTGGAAACATTAGCAGCAGTGGTACGTGCTTCCTACCAAGAAGTGGCACAAATGCTAATGCTCTTGACCTACGGACAGCTGAATGACATGATTTGCACTCTTTTCTCCCCCTGAATGTGGAATGAAAGAAAGAGAACAAAAACATCTCTCCGAGTGATATTGCCAACTTTGGTAGCATCTCAAGACAGAAGACTAATGGCATTGGTCTTGAAATCCCGAGACACAGTCACTATGTAAATATTCCAGTGGCATCCTATATCCCAGTACTGGATATTAATGTCTCCTTTTGACTGCAGAAATAGATTTTAAGCAAAATATATGAAAATTGGAAACCAAAATCCTAGTCTGAGCTTCGCTACTGACTCCCTTCATAGCCACAAGCAGGTTGCAACACCTCAGTCTTCCCTCCTGCAAAACAGAGCAACAAGCTTTGTTCCTCTCAGAGTTCCTACCACTGGCTTGATATATCTCTGGAAGAAATTTCGTCTTTCAGAGTGCTTTCCTATCCTACAACCTTGCAGTGTCTCTGCTCTGAGCAGCTCGTTTTGAGAGAATCAGTACATGCACAAGTGAAAACAGTACCTAATGCTTCCTAGGCTAAGGGACAGCTGGAACATGCATCTATTCCAACCGCTGCAATGAGAATATCAGCATGTGGAAGTGTTGAAACGCTGTTTGATACGCAAAATCATGTGTTAATGAGCTCATCAACAATGAGAAGAGCTTAGGTTTGACAGCGCACGGACCTATAAGCTGCTAAAGATCACTGAACAAAGGAGGAAGTCTGGGATTTTCTCTTATCCATTTGTTTTCCCACACAGCATAAAGAAGTTGAAAGACAAAATTCCCTCATTTCTGAGTGGCCATGCAGCTCTAAATATGGAAAGGATGAATGTGCTGCGTGTTCTTTTGGGCCTTGGACAATTCTCCTTCCCTGCTCTGCCACAGGCTTCCTGTGTGAATTCAGGGCAATGAGGCATTAGCATTTCTGTGACTTGGTCTCCCTAGATGGGAGATAAAGCCTTTCTTCTATTGCACAGTAATGACATAAAAAGAAACATCCCCAACACTGGAGAGAAAAGGCAGAAGACCAGACTGATAGATGATATTGTAGCTGACTGATTGCATTTTACAAATGCTCTTCCAGCCTTTAAGTGATTAGTAACTGGACAACATATTCGTTGACAGACTCTACCCTACAACAATCTCACGTACAAATCTGACTCATCACCCATGTCTAAAACTTTGTTTCCACCAGGAAAAAGAGGAGGGGAAGCATGTTTCCCTCAAAAAGAATGCAGAAGTAGAAATGAGAGGAGGATTAAACAAATTCTTTGGCCTAAGAAAACAGAGGCAAGTGACTAGGGGCTGCAGTTAGCGCATCTCAGAGTGCAGGATCAAGGTCTGGGGTACACGCAATCTCACGCTCAGGTTATTGGGGGATATCAGCTGCCCTGTCATGCCTTTGCTTCAGTTTGAGAATTCCTTCCTCCAAATGCACTGTTCTCTTTTCCACTCCCTCCTAAGGTGTTCTGCGCTCCTGGCAACTATTGTCAGTTCAGTGCCAAGGTCTGTTCAGGAACTCTTCTGTGTAATCCTAACCCTAATCTTAGGCTTGGCCTAAATGTAAAAACTATTCTCTGGTCCTTTCGGGTTGCTGAGTGCCCATAAGTGTCAGATACCATCACATCAAGCAAACATCATGAAACAAAGCCATGAAAGAAGACAGGGGTTGCAACAAGAATGAAATCAACAGCTGCTTCCTTGCAACAACAAACCTATCATCTTACAGGTCATTTAGAGAAAGGTCATTTAAACAGGGAAAAAGAGCCGGGTTTGAATCAAAACAGTTTTTTCCTCTGTCTTTTTACCCAGAAAACTGTGAGCAGGTTTATCCTCAACCACTCTGATCCTCCGGGCACCTGCAGGGATCACAGCTGCTTCGATGTAACCTGTGGCAACAAAAGAGCAGATGGATGAGAACACACCACAGGCAGCCAAAGCATCAATCTTTCGGTATCTCACCATGAAAAAACCAGCTCCTGCCCAGGTTGGGGAATGGGTGGGAAACACTTAAAAAGAGACCCCTGTGTTGGCAGCCAAGTTTCACTGCTGTGACATGCACAGTGATGACTAACGTTTCAGCCTGAGAAGAGGGAGAGAAATGCACGTGTGCTGCTTACGTGTGACTTCAGGCTTGTGCCTGGGCCTAAAGAGATTTGCTCCCTTTTGAAACACCCTGGCCCTCCTGCTGTGCCCTTAGGGATGTGTGAGGGCTGTTCCCGAGCTGAGGCGAGCAACACTGAATATCGCAGAACAGAAATATGTCTTTTGAAATGAAGTTTCCAATAGATGCTCTTGCTTTGCCCCCTGAAAAAAACCCACAAACCTGTCCAAGCTTGTGATCATTATCAGAAAGGACTCATTTCCACAAAACATTTTGACAATGCTAAATGCAGGAATTCGTGGGACAACTGGGGTAAGAAAAATTGTTTTCACTTACACTTCAGCTTTATACAAAAATTCTGGAGGATATGGTGGTAACGATCTCCTTGTATCGGGCTGCTAAACAGAATTCCACAGCTCAGATTTAACAGAGGACTGAGCACCAGTCACCTCTAAATACTGCCAGCAGACACACAGGACAAATTAGACCATCTGAGCACCTGACATTGTAAGGAAGTTTTTACAGTGCTCCATCATATTTTTGCAGTATTCTCTTGGTTTTTATCTTTCTGAAATCCTCTTAGCTTTTTCCTTCAACAACCAGCAATACAACACAGTTATACCACTTTTGACTAACAGAATAGCAGTAAGAATAATTAGGAGTTACAAAGAAATGCAGCCTATTTCCCCCCACCACAGACTTGTTCCGTGGGGTGGAAGTGGTGCCCTTAAACTATAAAGCTCAGGAACGTCAGGGTCCATCTCAAAGGTCTGGGAGCCAGGCAGAGTTTTTCCATTGGCGTCATCAGACTCTGATCCAGTGCCCTGTAAATGACACTAATCTCATCACGACCATGACTTGATTCCTTCTAATTGGCCACCCAGTCTACTTTGCAGTGTATAACTTGGCACCTTTTTTTTGGGTTATTGCTCCTCCCTTTCTTTTAGATGTTAAGGAGCTTATCTCCTGCATGTTCCTTCATCCCTTTTTGGGCTTTAGAGGACTGTGTGAAACTGTTGTGTGTCGCCCGTGCCTTTGTAGCCAGCCTAGAGCAATGGGGTTGGAGAAGTGCTATAAGGAACAGTGACCCCTCCAGCATCAGCAATATTTTGGGAGCTATTTTAGAGAAAAAAAATGGCCTTGCTTCTGCTATGCTGATACAGGGGGGCCACAAAGGAGGATGCTGACAGCCTCACGCATCTCAAGACTAAGTGATTCTCTTACCACTATGACAGGAATGAGACAAACGGGGATTTAAGGTCTCGGATTGTGGATCCATTTTTACCCACTTGAATCAGCAGAGTGCCCAGCCCCTTTGCTGTGCTAGGAATAAGAGTTGATCTCTTCAGTTTCATGAGGCGCATTGGGTCAGGCATGGTCTCTCTTCTCCTGATCATTGCATCTGAATGACACTTTCCATTCGACCCTTTGGCTCAGTTCTTTTGGCACTTGTTCCTCCCTACTTACTTCTCCCTTACTCAGGATATCTCAGGAACAGTCAGTCATCCCTTGCAGGAAAAACAGAAAGAGGGACAGCAGAGCTGCAATCCATGTCTGTGTACAGAAGTCAGACCAGTGGCTCCCCCATCTGCTATTACAGAGTGGGTTTCACTGAGAAAAATCAGTACTTCCAGGGTTGTTGGGTTTCTCTTTTAAGGCAATACTGAAATCTGTTACAAAAAATCAAAGCAAATGAATGTTGGATTTTATTCCAGATATTGCCAGGAGCTGTTTTTTTCATCAGCTAAGATACCAAGTAACAGTTAAAACAATGTTTCAGAACTCAAAACATCCTCACTGCACCCCATGCATCTGCATACACAGCCAACCAACAGGGACCACCAGACATGAGCACCCAGCAAAGGCGGGATTAAAGACAGTCCACCACGGGGAAACAGGCCCTGTGACACACCTGAACACCCTTTTAGGAAGCCAGTTTGGAACATGCCCAAGTTTCAGGTAATTTAATAGACCCACTGCGAGACTATTTACCTATTTATCTTTCAAACCAGGTGCCAGACGCAAGCACCCAGAGCTAAATGCGCAGAGGCTGGATACAAATTTCCACCAAGTTTAGTGGAAAGGCAATGACTAGCTTCAGTGAACTCTGGATCGGTCCCCTGACCTTGCAGCAGCCAGGAGTGTGTCACATTGCTCGAGAGGCGAGCGAGCTGAAGAGCTGTGCATGAGGTTCAGCTAGTGCCATAAACATACTCTTGTTTCATCACTGTGCCATGAGAGAAACACCACATGGAAAAGCTGACTTTTATGTCACTTTTTACAATAGTAAACAGTGGAGTGTAAGCTATTAATAGCATATTAGTTCTGGAGACTGTTTGGTTTGGTCTTAGACCAGATTTTTCTCCTCATGTAATTTCTAATCCTGATTGATAGCTTTGGGGGGGTTGCACTCAAAGCTCCTGAATCAGAAGAAACATATTGTGCTACCTCACTGAAAGCATGTGGCACAAACCTGACTGCTGACCTTGACTCTTCTGTCAGTGAACTGCAAACCACTTTGCAGTCCTGTCAGAGATGAAGCAGAATTCTTGGGCATGTCCCATCAGGAGCATCTTGACACTCTCCTTCATTATTTCCAGCAATACTGTGTGAGCTAGTGGTCAAATCCTATTGCAAACGTACCATATCATGTCCATCATTACCACCACTCCAGTCTGGTCCTTAAGAGTTACTGTGAGGCTTCTGGTCACAGACAATTCCTGATTTTTGAGATAACTGCACCAGAAAACACCTCCACTGTTTTCCAGGCACATTTTATTAAGCAAACTGTAACTGCAGATTGCCAGAAAGATTATAAAGTGTCAGCTAGTAAGACCAAAAAAGTCTCTGAGTTGGCTCTGAGTCAACGACTCTCACAGATCTCTTAGGTCTTAGGATAATTGTCTGCAATGCAGGGATTTGCAAGGTTGCACTTAAGGTTCTGCTTTAAATGAGGAACTGGCTAAAGACTGATGAGATTTGGCAACTATCAGGCAGTATTTTTAGTAATTTCACCCATAAATCAGCCCGTTAAGATGAAACTTTGAAAGTACAACAGGAGAACTTCATTATTCGATAATTTATAGTGCTGTATGTAGTATACTCCACCTTGGGAACAGCTACTTTGGCATGCAGCAATCTTTCTGGATAATCTGCATTATGTCAGCGTATCAGGAATGTAAGACTGTGATTGAAGCAAATCCTAGATACAAATTATATGGTGTAACTCGTATTAGGAGAGACACCAGAACAAAGAGGTGGCTTTGTCATCAAGGAGATTAATATGTGAACAGTGGCTACTGTATCTTCATTTAAATGCTGGAGAGATTTGCAAGAGGAAAGCAGCTCACACAGGAAAATTCATTGTTATTATTCCCAGAAAGAACAGAAAGTTTAGTGTGAACTTCAGAATGTCACTGACGATCTACTACAAAACTGTTCTCCTGGTTCACACTGTAATGAAAGATGGACTCTGAGGCAAAGGAAAAATTATCCCATGGCTGAAGGCACATGAAAATTAGGTGCAAGAAAATCAACAGTGCTCATCCCATTATCAAACTTCCCAAAAGCGCTTTAAAAAAAGATCTCGGGGTAGAAGCCAAGCAAATCAGACTACCCTGCCCACCTGCTGGTCACAGCCAGCACAGCTTTCAGCATTTTAGGAACAAGTACCAGATGGGCATCTCAGCTTCCATGACCCTCTGCATTTTGCACCTTTTGCTGACTGCTAGTTGTTGCAATGGAGCAGAAATAAGTCCAGTGGTAATTACGTGCCCATTTCCTGAACAGTTGTGATGATTCTCAGTTGCTATTAGCTTGATGGTAATTGCTCCGTCAGCACCTGTCCGCTTCCAGCCATGGGATAGCTCATTTGGAAGAAAATCATTTCACTGGAGAGCCATGGATAGATTTCAAAGCCTCCTACTATTGCTGTGAAGTTGGTTGCTGGGATTTCTAATCTGCATGTTCTGCTTAAACCCGTATGAGACACCCCAGAGTTAGCCCCCGGGCTCTATTTTTCCATCATTTAGATGTAAACTCTACTAACAAAAAACCTGCTTCTTGTGCCGGCTAAATATGCTCTCAGCCAGCACTATAGCACGACTGTTTGAGTATCCTTTCTTTCTTTTAAATACATCCTGGACAAGTAGCATACACAATAAAAAACCCTGCTTTTTCACCAACTTAAAAAGAATCATTGCTAACAAAGATACACTCCTCACTTCCCAGAATGATAATTGCAACAACTGGCACACCTCACCTTCTTACGTTCTGACATTGAAAAATTCCAAGTATCTATGGTCCTTCGCAAGCAAAGGGCAGCAATGAAAATCTTGGTATGGCTGAGAAAAACCAAGAGACAGATGAAGATCTCCTGCTCAGTGCAGGTCTCTAAGCATTACAGGCACAGCCTTGGAGCCTGGGCAGAAATCATCGGTGACAAATCAGCTACCCGACAGCTACAAGCCTAAGAGCTGTCCTTTATTTCTAGGTCCCCTGTACAGTGGCAAGGAGACCTCATAACAAGTCTGGTTTCATTTTTAAAAACTTATTTTGTAGGAATAGTTACAGGGCATGCTGCCTTTCAAAAGTAAACCTCAGTTGCAATAGTGCATTCACCTGGCCCTCAGCCAGCCAGCTGCACACGAGCGTGTGTGACACTTAGCATCACAAATAAAGGCTTTTGACCTACTCCCCAAAAGAGAAATGGAATCCATTTCCAGCTGGATCACTCCAGATGACAGGTGGCAAGATCTGAACTGATGGTGCTCCTGTGAGGCACTCTGCATGTTCCACCATCACGACCCACCAGCATGGCAGAACCTTAAGGTTGGAAAAAAAAGAAATAGGCATGGTTCCTTCTACTTGGTTATTGAAAATTTGGCTTGCTTCCATGCAGGTAGGTTTTCTACAAGGCCAGGATCTGTACTTGGTATCTTTGATAAACCAAGCTAAATAGTAAAAGGACTTGAAGCTTATCCATGGCTTTTGATATTCATCTCCCCATCTAATACAACCAGAAGAAGATAAAGAACCAGCACCAAAGGATGTCACCAACACCCACTGACACTGCAAACAGCATTCAAGTATCTTACACGAGAAACACTTGGGAACGGCCTTTGCCTTTGCCATCACACATGTGGAAACCTTCTTACAATGACTATTGGTTACTAAGAAACAGAAAGGAGTTGGCATGGATTTAGTCAGTTAATAGGGCTTGACAACATAATTTGCAAACACAGGACAGATAGGGACCAATCCTGCAGTCAGTGGAGTCCCACGTGCAGAGCAGCTGAGGATGCGGCTCAAAGGTTGCAGCTGCAATTCCCCAACCAGCCACCACTCCAAAACAATCAATGTCTTGATGTTTGAAGTCTATTCTCTTCTGAAACAATAAATCAGCGTACTTGACTCAGTGTGTTGGCCTTGACTTGGATTGCAGCAAGTTCACGGGAATTCGCCCCTAACCTGCGGAATCGTTTACACATCCAGGCCCCCAATCTGTTACCGCAGTCGTACCGTGTATTCTCCTTTGCCCTGACTTCTGTCAGATCCTTGTAATTATTTGCTTAAACATCAATCGAAAGAAATAAGGACAAGTTTTTCTTGAGTAACCTCATGTTTGCTTGTGATACCTCAGACCCAACTCTGGAGCTTTGCCTACTGCGTGAGATTCAGTAAGTTAACCCAACAACTCGATTCTGCAAGCCAGCAGCATGTAATAGAAACTGATGGGAGTAACTCATGATGATGTATAAAATGTTTGCAGAATCGGGGCTGGGAGTGGTAAGTGAAACCAAGTCTGTTTTCAGTATCTTCCATAAAAGAATTTCAAAAGCAGGTAAACATCAACACTGAACTATCAAAAGACTGTAAATATTCTTTCCATTTCAGTAGGCTAGAATGCTCATTAAAAGAGTATAATTAAAAAAATTAAAAGGCAAAGATGATTTTTGACCAAGCAGAAGATTGTTTGGCATATCATGTGTGTCACTTTTAAAAACTATTTCCACATGAAATTTAATTCCCTTTAAAATTAGTAATTCAAAACATCTACTAAATGTTTATGAGACTATAACTGTAAAAGCAACTATCTCATAGATTATGTGAGATGGGTAAAGGTGGACAATTTACACTGACAAAGCAACAGTTCGACACGTTTGTGCTTCTGAGACGATCAGCAAAGAGGATCAATCAATGCTTGAACACTGACCATAATTCTGTCAGTCATCTCTTCTTACCAGTTTACAGGGCGCTGGGGGTGAAAACCTCCTGTGGTGTCCTGGCAGCCAGACAGCCAGCCAAGGCTGAAACTGTTCTGTTCCTACAGCCTTGTAAAGTTACCACCCTCAAGCAGTCTGTCTAGTTGGAAACGGGTGCAACCTCCTGGCAGCGACCCAGAAATTTCTTATTTATCTCCACAAGATGTTTTGTAGTCTCATTAGAGAAGATAAAAGACAGTTACTCTTCAGGAGCAATTAAGAACTTCATGAACAGCTATAAAACCTGCTACAGAAACAGAGAACCTTTTTTTCAATGGAAATGAGATTTTTTTTCCCACCATTTGCATCAAATGCAAATGCCTTGACATAAGTAGGTGGAAAATAACTGGGACAAAAGAGCCAGAGGGAACAATGCAGGAAATCATTCAACGGGCTGGCCTGGACAGTACAAATGTGCTCCAGAAAGATGTGGTTCAGGTGGGAAATCCTACCTGAATCTCAGAGGAGGTTACACATCATGGCTTGCTCCACAGATGATGATGAGGAGGGTTCAGAGGAAGAGGTCAATGAACATAATCAGAGCCTCAGACTTCAGTGCTGAGACCTTGATTAAAGGAAGCTGCTAAGCACCAGTGCTGCTTTAATAACTAAACAGAATTGCAGTGCGTGCTTAAAGGGAATCTTTATCTCAATCCTGCAGCAGCATGTGTTGAGTATGTTTCTCCAGGCAGAAATGGCAATTCTGTATTCACCGAACATGAAACATTTTTTTCCAGACAATTCCTTCGTCTTGGAACAGCTTGCAAGTCCTGAATCTGGCTTTCCCTCCCTTTGCCTGATTAGGATGTGTGATAACAGGTTTCTCAGAAGCACAATACAGAAGCTCTTGGAACAAAGACTAATTTAAACACCAAGTGGTATACGCATTAATGTTTAACAAGAGGGGAAAGCCTTAACTCTGACTGGAAGCTCTTGTATCCTACACTGGATATTACTGCTAGCAAGGAATCAGTAAAAATATTCAGAGAGGAGTACTCTTGTATTGAGCTGAAATATCCTGATTATAACAAGAATCATCTACAACATGCATCATTTTGAGCTCTCAAATAGCTCAAAGATGGTGCTGAAATCAAAATTCCTTCCCACTGGAAAAAGATACTGTTTTTGTTTCTTATTAAAAAGCAACACCCGAAATGAGGAACATAACTTCATTCTGAATCTCAGACAGAGGCAATGGCTCGTATCTGGGCACCTGAACAAGAAGCAGACAGAATATATGAATTGAGTGGGCTTTTGTTTTGTGTTTCTTACGTGTTTTCTAGAGCAGATGAGTCCAATGCTATTCAAGAAGAAGAGCCATTACTACCCCTCTTTAACTCTCCTTAAGCAGTTAGAGAACCTCCACTCCACTAAAATGCTGGTGATGGTTACTCACCCATCCCCTTGGTGTGGTTGAAGTCGCCTTTCACCACTTTACAGGTTTTGCCATCACCACTGCAGACTCCACAGCGATCCTCTTTGGCAGCTGAGCCAATGATTCCATCGCAGCCAATTTTCTAATGACAACAACCAGAGGTCCCCATTATTTTGTTTGCAAGGTCAAAGTATCTCCAAACATTGAGGTTAAACCTAAGACAGACATTGGACTGAAAATCTGATTGGGAAGAGAACACTGTGAGTCAGGGGAGCGCTCCTTTGGAACAGCGTTGAGTTGGTTATTCAGCAATCCATTTCTCTAACACTAAGAGCATGAACTTTGATTCAGGCTTAACTGAAGACAGCTTCACAAACACTAGTTAGTCCAGATATCATCACAGATCTCATACTAACCCACTCTAACTTCCTTTAAACACAATAGATTAAAACAAATTTTCATGTCTGTTTAGCAATTTCCATTTGAGGAGCTCAAAGACATCCCAGAGAAACTGACCACTACTGTGATACTTAGAGAAAAATGTGATTTCCTTGAATAAAAATGAACTCAAGTTACCAGAATCCTGGTCATAGACCTTCACCACACAAAAATTCAGAATGCTGTTACAAGTTCCAGTGAGTTGCTCACTGAAGGAGCTCTGCTTCGGATGAGAATCTTAACAGAGAGTGTAACATTCAGTTCTGAATACACTTTTGCAGAAATAAGTGAAAAAAGACCTCATTAATCAGGTGACTTAAGATACCTGCAATGCAAAAGTAGTTAAATGGAAGCAGGTCATGTTCATATTCAGCCAATCTACACCATAAAATTGATTATCTAATTATGAAATTTTCCACATTTTTGCACTGTATTAAGCTTAGGCAGTAAACCATGAAAAAAATTTTTTAAAATGTAACAATTTCACCTAAAACTTCTTTTTAAATGGTATTTTCATAATTTTCTGTATCGACCTACACTTTTTCCAACAAAATTCTGCAGCTTTACTTCCACAGACAGGCATTATTGGAGCAGTCACAGTATTCTTCTTGTAGCTATAGAGACTGTCATGGCAATCTTTCCTACTCACAAAGCACTTACAGGTTATGACGGTGAACACTGCACATTTGTATATCTTGAGGCTGACAATACTTACTGTCATTTGTCTATGTAAATTGTTTTCTATCCATGTAAGACCCTCAAAATAATCAGCAATTCACTCTTAAAACATAAATTTCTGCTGAAATAAGAGTTGTCATTATGCAAATTATTAGCAGATATTCTACTTTAGAAAATAAGCAAAAGATTTATTCCCTGCAGATAAACAGTTTCTTGGCAACTGAGTTAGCAGGACTGTCACTAATAATACTTGTATGAATAAGGCTGTTGGGTCTCTCCCTTCCTTGCCTTCTTATAATAAAGCCAGAGGAAAGTTGGAGAGATATCTTAGGGACCAATCAAAACAGCAAACATCTTGAAAAATAGGGTAAGAGGGAAATACTAAGGGCAATTGGGCTGTTTATCTGAGACTGTCTGCGTGTAAGCAATGTAATTTGGGCCTGAACTCAAATGTTTCCCTTGTTTCGGAAGACACTGGCCACTGCCTAAGTCCAGATGTATTACAGGGATCAAAGCCTGCCAGCATTGAGACGTGTTCTGGTGCAGCGTTTGTCTGGGTAAATCATTAGACAGACGCATGCTGAGAAAGGATGATCACTGTAAACTCATACAAGGGAAATACTGCTCATTAACTGGAACAGCATGTAAGCTGGTGGGCAAGAACTACAGGAAAAAAAAACCCTGTATAAATGTGAACCAAAGGAAGGTAGGAAGACCATTGTGTTTCTGGCAGTTGCAATTCTCAAGTCTGAACTTCACACCCATGTCCAACAAATAATTTTGGGATATTGAATGCAATCCTGCCCCCAGAACAGAAGGATGTCCCAGCAGTTCTCCTTCCAGGAAAATAAATATGATTTATTAATGGGGTTGCTGAAAGGCAGTTGGAAATATATGCCTGCCTGCCACCCTGCTGAGATACTGGAAGGGCTGCATTTAATTTAAGACTCCAGTGCTATCTTTTATTGTACTGCATTGTTATTAGCACTATGTGAGCACACAGATGAATAAAGGGAATATAATGAGTGTTGAACCACATGTATTCCAAGCGCTACACGAGGAGTCTGTAGGACTATACCAGAGGCAGGCAGAGAATGGGGGTTAGCAATCACATGCTTTGCATTTATGCTGCAGTTTCCCAGATAATGCAAACCAGGGTGAGCCAGCAAAATCTCGGAAAGAATATGCTCCCCCTCTTCTGACACTGGGGTTCAAGACAAGCCATTTCCTCCCACATGTAGCAGGTCACTGACACACTGACTTGAGAGACCCTCTCTGAAGGCACGGAAAGAGCACCCATTGAATCCACGAATATACCTCCCAAACCCTCTGCTCTCTTCTACCTTTCACGTTCACCCTAATTCCTCATGAGTGCAGGAACGAGGAATGGCCCTTGCAGCCTTCCCTTAAAGGGCACCATCCCCGCCATCCACAGGACAGATCGTCCTGTAAATTGAAGGCCCCATCAACTTTAAACTCTTAAAACAAGCACAAAGGGGAAGAGATAGGGCTGGGAGGGTGAGGAAGCAAAATGCAGTGAGCATCCTCCTTCCTGGGAGGAAAGTATCTGCCAGCACTTCTTGGACTGTTGAGAGCTAAGCCCAGCTTTCTCCAAGGTGAGAAAGTCCCTGAGATTACAGCACTGGGGGCCAGAGGCTCAGGCCTGAGCCCCACCAGAGGTGGGGAAAGATCTGTCAAGTCTGTGCATCATCAGCTTCTCAGTGGCATTATGGCGTACGCTACTCGCATTTAAACTGTCAGTCATTAAAATAGGTAGAGCTGTGCTCAACTTGTAGAAAGCTTTCAAAAAAGTGAGGGCTTAATTAAGTCTATGCAAAGGGAAATTTCCAAGTTTCACTGCTCAAAAGTCAAGTTTTCATAGTGCAGAAACAATCCCTTAAAAGCCAAATAGTTTAAGGGATCCGTTTGATCTCTGCTGTCTCTAACTTGTTTTGTGCTGTGTCCCATACATCCAGCACACTAAACAAGCGAAGGGGCTTTTTTTTTTAATCAAGAGGCAGAAAGGGGAAATTTTACATTCTGAAATACATCTTATAAGTAACAGCCTGTGTGTTTTCTGTCCCAAGAGTTATCCTGCAAGTGAGCAGACTGAGTCCACAGAGTAGTCCATGCAGCAATTGCTGGATACTCTCAGTTCCATCAGTCTTGAGTGGACTGGTGAGAAGGGAAGTGGTTTTGTATTCTTACCATTCTACCCATTAAGGGGTGAGCAGGGCACTTGGAGCTCAACTGTTCAGAAGGAAGAATAGAAAGTAAAAAGCCAGCCTGGTGTAACGACCATCTGTTTAGTTGTCTGTGGGAGCATTCGCTACTGTCAGCCCTGTTCTTGGCCTCCTGGAGCTTCCCTGTACCACCCTGCATGGACTTGGACAGTGATATCCACAACTCTGGCAAAGGGTTTGATGTTGACACCACCCAGGAGTTCCATCTCCTGCCTGCACTAGCGGTTGGAAGCCTGCAGTGCGGCAGTACTGCTATAAACAGCATCAGTTGGACAAAGAGGAAGTGGGGTTTAACCAAAGCCAGTTCCTTGCCCATATTAAAACACGGCAAGAAACGTAAAGACAGTCTTCTGGGGCTCCGTGTCCCCTGCTTGGACAGTCACAACCATATCCACAGGTTTCTTAATGTGCTCCAACCCAGGCAGTCTCCTACTCTCACACCATGTTTTGGAACTATCCATTGACCTTTAAATTGGCGGGTAACTGCATGTTCACTGAGCCAAAGGCCTGAAATTCATTCTCTCTGAGCAGACATCTCAGCCCACCCTTCCTTCTCTCCCTCCCCCTTCTTCTCATTTTTATAATTAAACATCTGAAAATACTGCTTGTTGGGTGGTATTTCCAGCTTCAGTCATTGCTGGCTCCAGCATAGGAAAACTCCTTTCCTCTTCTGAATACACATCATTTGGATTCTTCTATGTGAACTATTTTCTGTATTGCCTGGATATTTTTTAATGATATTTTTATTCATATTTTCAATGGCTGTGCAAGAGCTCAATTGATACAGCCTGCGTGAGTGTGTTTTGCTATATAAACACAATTATTTTTGTTATATACACCCACCCTGTGTAAGAAATGACATTGCAGGCTCACAAAACTGTAATGCTTCCCATATGCTGAACTAGCTATTGATGCAACATGTGCCATTTTACAAATTAATCATGCACAGAGCATGCTGGTTATGACAGATTCATCTACACCACCAATTTTTTGACCATAATGTCCAGTGTCCATTGATACCTCTGGGGATGGATCACATGAAACAGGAATGTACATATGTGAGAAACTGACGTTTGGATCTGAGGCGAAAAGAATTCTTATTTCTTTGTTTTAAACACAACTGCCCTTGCGGAGGATTATGGGTGTCTGTCAGGATTTGTACAGGACGGTAAGCCTAGATCCCTAATCAAGAAGTCCATCTCTAAGTTACTGCTATTTCCGTTCCACAACAAATTGTGTGTGATGAATTGGAGTCCATGTAGAAGCTAGTTCAGCAAGTATCCTCCTGCCATTTGCTGAGCCTTCAGATTTTATCTGAACCAGAGCAGCTCTGCTGGAACAGGAGATATGCACTGCCTATATTAAATTAACATTATCTTACCTGCACTAGATACACAATTACACTTGCCCATTGACTTTGTGTTTAGATCCCTCAGCAGTTCATGCAGGTGCTAGATGCAATTACTCTTGATAAACATTTTTTCACATGTAGAGCTTGAAGGTTACTTGTCAAAAGCCCTGTGTTGTGGCAGCAACACAGTCTGTATGAGTGAACACGCAAATAATACAAAGCCTGTTCCCATCCCAGGGACTCCTTTGCTTCTGTTCTTTGGTTGCCTTCTGCAGCTACCCCTTTCTGATCCTCCCAAACCACCTTCACCTGAATTGACACCTCTGACCTGATTCTTGGATGTTCAAGCCACAAGCAAAATCCAAAGCTTCCAAGATAGGAAACAGCATGTTTTTTTTTTCCATATCCCACTCTAAGTACACTATAAAAAATATTAAGATACTGAAAAAGTCTTGTTTTTTGTCACCGTTCCTTACTCCTCAAAAGCTCTGATATTCCTTTTAGGCCTCTGATTACATTGCTACAGACCCAGAAATTGAAAAAAAAAAGGCAGTTATACAACAGGTTTCTGTAGTTCAAACAATCCTCCTTTTTTTTTTTGTGCACATACACTGAATAATTTATCAAAGCACAGTGCTAAGCCAAGTGGTTATATGGAGACAAGATACCCAGTCTGGAACATCTTGTACCAGTTTGTAATGCAGGAATATAAATAATACACGAAAAACACTCAAGTGAAGAAACTGCCAGCAACAGGTCCCGTAGACAACTGCAAGTTATCCTCTGCCACCTGTGGCCCTCTCCTGCCACACTGCCTATACAATTTGTAAAAACCTATTCTTGAAAATACGTCCATTTCCAAACTCGTGCTCCCCTTTCACAGTGTGTGACGATTGCTTTTGCAAGTAATCAGTTCTATAATGAATGAGTTGTTTTGCCAGAAGAGCCTCATATGTGACTTGTCATCATTGAATGTACTGTGGATTCACCAACAAGTTAAAACTACATGCAACAGGACAAAACATTCACTGTAAAACTGCAGATAGAGTCAAAGTATCTTCACCTCTTAAACTGTTACATCACAGCGAAGACTGCCCTTGATCTCCAGCCCAGTGCCGCTACACAGGAGGCCTCTCTTTTCAAAGAGACCTTAGATTACATGCTGAACTACAATCTGTGGTCCCCACTGGAAAATTCTCATGCTATCATGAGTCTCAGACTAATCCTCCTTTGAGAAAAGCCAGCGCGAAGTCATGTGCGTCATAACAGTCAGCTGAGCAGCTTGTCGTCTCCCCACACCACTGCTGGGTGACATCTGACACCTTTTTCAGCTCTACTTCTGCCAGCAGGTTTCTGCTAACATCAGCAGCACAAACCGTGTGAAGAACCATAAGAGGTTAGCAAGAGCGCTGCTTCCATGAATGTTGACTCATTCACTAAACAGTCTCGAGGAAGAATAAAACCCTCAGGGAATCCTCTCTCTGAAAGCCACTTGTCACTTGAAGTATGAGAAGATTAAAGCAATGTGAGCTGCAGGTTGTGCTGCCCTACCCCATCTTCACCATAACTGCAAAGACTGTGTAAGAGAAAGCAAACCTTGGAAGCGGGAGAGAGAGAAAGACTGCAAAGCCTGGATGAGCACTCTTCCTTCTCTTCCTCCTCAGATGCATCAGACTGCTCTTGTTCTCCAGCTTGCTACAGGCTTTCTGCCTCTGAAAAATCTCAGAAGAAACTCTCCTTGCTAGTAGACTATGTGCATTTCAAGAAGGAAAGGTGGAAGACCCATATACACTTTGAAGAAGGGATCTAGTTTGCTCAGAAGACGGTAAGGATAAGTGCCTTTGTTGTTACTCGAAAATGTTTCCTCTAAAGGCTTAACTTTATATCACTCCCTTCAATTTTTGAGACCAACTCCTGAAGCTCTTACACAGCTTTTATTTTGTCTTCATTCTGGCAAACTGTCACTGTCAAGAACGAAACAGCCTCAAAAACAACTCTAATAAACAAGGACAGGACAAAATTGTACGAAGACCTTAGGACTTGTCTCAAAGACAAGGAGTGTAAAGTCCAGGTGACTTAGGAACCCCTACGATGGTATCAGGGCTGACTTCACTCTCTGACACTTCTGTGCTTGCCCAAAGCATTAACCAAGTTTACTCACTCCAGCTGCCTTCAGGTGTAAGTGATAAATAGAGGGATGATGCAGCTTATGACGATTTTCTTTCAGGGATATAGCAAGGCCAACACCAAAAGGCTTCATTCACACTGTTTAGACTGGAGCTCAGCTCACAGCTTTGAAATGAAACTGTAGTAAGTTCACAAAGTACAATTGAAGAAAAACTCTCCTCCCTCAGTGCCCAAATGCAGTCACAGTATTTTGAGGCTTCAGAGAATCAATTCCTGTTCCCTTTCTCAAAATCCTCCTCTCCTTGCATGAACAGATTTTTTTCTTTGCCACGTTCATGTGCTTTCGTTCATCATGCCACAACGATTGCATGTGTTTCATTTAGAAGCATCTACTGCTGAAGGGAAAAGAGCTATTACATTTCCTCGACTAGATCTTCACAGGCAATGGTTACTGCTAATTTGTCTGTTACACTGGCAAGTGTCATTTCTGTCTTTGAGAGCCTTTAATTAGAAAGATCACACAAGAAAATAAATAACAGTAATACCACCCTCTGATTTCAGCACTTATTCTCTTCTCCAGGCCCCCTGCAATCCTTGTTGCCAGGCTTTGTCTACACTGGGTAAAGAAATAAGGAGGAGTAATTAAATAAATATGCTGATTAAATTGGTTTAATAGGCAGCTAGTTAGGCAAGTATCTGTGGCAAATGGGGTACACAGTCACATATGGCAATTCTCAGCGCTAAAGTGCATATAAGACAGAGGAGTATTATAAATGAGTTTGCAAGGCTTTCAAATCGGCTCGGCTTGAGTTGATCATTTTGCATTTTCTCTCAGCCAGATGCAAATGGACTGAACGTTCTGCAGCTGTCATCACCTCTCTGCACGGTTAAAGGCAGTTGCCCCGGACTTAAGAGTGCAATTTGCTTTTCATGATGTACCTCCAAAGCTCTATGCTCATAAAGGTTTTCATCTGGAGGGGAGCCAGCTACTGCTCCTCACTGGAAGAAGAAAATGTACATTGCCATAATGTCTGATTTACCTTCTGTGGCTGATCTGAATGTTTGGAGAAGTAATACTGGCCAGCCCAGTGTAATGGTCAACAGCACACAGCTGGAGGTGTACAGCTGGCCTTTCTATAAAAGGTTATTAACAGATTTTTTAGTTTTTTTTCAGATACAACTGAAACCAGGGAAAAATTAAGTAACTTGGGATGCACCACAAACCTGGCTCTATGAAAAGCACTTTGTATTAAAGAGCACATAAAGAATCAAGCTTTTGTTTCCCAGCAACCTGCTGTGCAGATTCTTCACCTGAATGAATTAGAAGGACTGAATTTAAACTGCCTCTTTAGCAGCACTTGGTAGGAAACAGTGGGATGTGTCTCCTGCAGCAGGGCAAAATTCAATTCAGAGAAAGATTTTTCACTTGTTTTGTTGTATTTATGCTTTTGGTACAGCTGCATTATGCCCTTTGAGCCTCTCATATCCAGGTGAGTATCATGTTCATCTATCTCCCTGCCTAGAAGGCTCAAAGCAACAAAAATTCATAGTTTTTAAACACTACTCATAGAAATCAGAAATAATGCCACATATGGTGTGTCTTGTGCCCCCAGGGCAAACCAGGATATCTCCAGTGAAGCCAGGGGAAGTAAAGGGTGGTGCTAGAAAGATGTTCTTGTGGATACAACAGGCTGGTTAATACTGAAAAGAGGATCTCCCAGCAGAGGATATAAATCCAGCTGAGGATAAACTTACAAGAAGAACTGCCAGGAAGAATCCAGCACTGGCAATGTTGCAGTAGCCAACTCAACTGTCTTTCACATCACTAACATTTGTGCAGCAAACTCTGAACATGTGCCACATGATTAGGAGAGAAAACCCACCAAGTGTCTGCTATGTCACAGTGTCCATGACAAATGACTTGAATCCAACTGCAATACTTTGCTAGGAGCACCCATTCCGAAAGACTTTCTGTAATTTATTATCTTTAAATAAATATTTTCTCCTCTCCCTTCCCTTGCTCAAACCTTACCTCTCCAGTTAGCATACACTTATACAACTCCACTAAATTTTCAAGGCATCTGAAAACACCAGCTTCAAGAGATGGCCTCCCTAAGCATCCCATGTGCTGTGTGACAAACTGTCTCACTGCCCAGCCAACCATGAAGATTACAAAGATGTCCCACACCTAATTTTGGTTCCGTACATAATTTGGCTAGAGAGCAATCATCGTTATTGCAATGACTACAGGCCATCACACCTTCACTCCAGGAAAAGGGAATCAAAGCCAAAGAATCTTGAACAGAATACTCTTCATTTCCATTCCTGACTTGTTTGACTAGAAATGAAAGGAAACAAGTGTGTTCAGGGTTTGGCCAGTCTGTCCAGGGACAACCAAGGGGCCATCGATTGCCCCACTGCAGTACAGCAGAAGGAAGCCTACCCTGCACTCTGTGTGGTTTGCTCTATATGTGACCCAAGCAAGACAACAGAGATGAGAGGCAAAAGAAAACCGGTTTGGGTTGTGCTCTGAGCTGCAGGATCTGCTCCTTTAAATCTACATTCCCTATTGCGTGGAGCTTTAAAACCTATTTTGTCGGAGGAAGAGAAACTTTCTCTTACTGCAAGAGAAACAGGCCATTCAAACCGTCTTGATGGACCTCTACAGTAACTCAGTTTGGCATTATCTAGTAATATAGTCAACAAAAAAAATCACACAGGGGAAGCTAGTCCTGTGCAGCTGCAGGAACCAAGGAGCAAGAGGTACTGAAAAGCTTTCTTGACGTTTCTAGGCACGAACCAGCTTGACCTGAAAAGTGTCATGAGGCAATGTACCACTTGTAACAGGCTAGTGAAGATTTGTAATCCAGTTTGCAGCATCAGTGTTTTTTCAGTGATTCCTCTAATAGCAAAAATGGAGCAGTTAAGCAAGCCAGATTTCCACTCCCATCTGCTGCCCTCACACAAGTCCCTTCCCACCCAAGCCATTTGATAACTACACACAGCAAACATTCCCAGCTGTTCAGAAATAATCTCATACCTCGAGCATTTATCACAGTTCTCAGACCAAGACACAAGGCTCTGGAGCACTTGCAACGGGCCTTATAAGACAGAGTTGCCCTCTCACCTCTGGGGCAGCCTCTCAGCCACCCCCACGGGTGCCTGTTCTTCAAGGATACACACAGTTGCCCCAGGCTACACGTAACACTAGCAATAAAACAAGAGAAAGTTACTCCACCTGGCACTTGCCATGTACACAGAGGTCGGTCTCATAAGGCCCACACGGAGTGCCATCAAGGACTCTGTCTGTCACCAGCACGGGGGAATCCTTCCCCAACGGAGAGCAGAAGAGCTCACAGGGCTTATCTGGAAAAAGAAATAGAAAAGCGGGTTCCTTCAGGAACAGCATAAACAAGTGGTTGAGGCACTGGTGATACAATCTCTAGGTGAATGGATTTGGAAAGGTATCTGTTGATGTTCTTATCTTTGAAGGAACATGAGCCTTTCAGTCTATGCCTGTCACTTCCCCGCTTTCAAACACCAACATTCAAAGGGTTACATTGACGATATTGGTCTTTTAAGACACAGGAAACCATTTAGTCTGTACACTTCTAGGTATCTGTGACAGAACATGTTTCTTACAGGGAACTTTCATCAGCCTGAGATGAACAACCAAGTCACTGTGTGAGTGCCTCAGGCAAAATTCTGGCTACAGCCGGTGAATTAAGAACCACTTCTCCATTTCTACTCTTGATGGAACGACTTCTTCTATCAGTTTGCCAGTAAGAATATTGGTATACATAAATTTAAAGCATTCTTGCATATGTATTACTAACTATTTTCTTAAACTAGTATTTGTGGTTCCTACAAACATTTCTGTCAGCAAACTATACTGCTAGGACACCTAGAGAAAGAACCCTCAAATTAATTTGAAATACATTAGTAGAGAAAAGTTGTATTTTTCATCCATGCTAACAGCAATTGTTATATAGTATACCTAGACCTGACTTTGGAAAAGCTACTATTGTGTTTAGATAGAGAAGGAGTTAAATAAAAACCCTTTTTCAAAGATTTGTATTATTAACTGGCAGCATACAGCAGATGTCAGGGTTTGCTGACTGCATTTGCCATACGTTTAAGTAACAGATATTTAGGCAATGTAATGTTTTCCTTTGGAGCTGACTCTGCTACTCATGGACTTCACCCAAGGAAGAATCCATAGACATTCAAATGGAAACATGTTTTCTGCATAGTCAAGTACCTCCACTCATTAGATGTAAGAGAGAAGGTTTGCCAATACATTAAGCTAAGTGGCATAGGCCTCTTCTAATGCAATCAAAAATCTGCAATCAACTCCCACCTTGCTAGTAACTCTAAGTAGCGTTTGGGTGCAATGGAGACTAGCTCCAGGTTTGTTTGGATCTGCATCTATTTAAATGGTTCTGAGTGTGGACATCCTCTCTTCCGCAGCTGCGAGATATGCAGCTGGGCAGGGGAGGTTTCTAATTTGCATTCCTGGAAACTGGGGCAACACGGCTCAGGTGAGTGAGGAACAATGTCCGCTATTATCTTTTAGCAAGAGCTTGTTCAGTCTTCAGGTGTACAAAAGATGGCTCGTTCTCTCTCTGTGGCCGAATGAAGTTCCCAATGAGACACACTCACTGAATCATCTGGAAGGTTTTTTTCTCTTTTCTCCTATTTACAGGATGCTCAGCAACCCACAGCTCCTGGTTGGAAATGGAGAAAGGAGTGAAACAGCTCACCCCTGGAAAAAACTGGGAGAGTTTTCTGTGACTGAAATTAGACAGAGAAGTAGCTCTGCATTGTTAGTTCACCCTGCAAAACTATTTGGGGAGGTGGGCAGACAGGAACATCAAGCAAAACCAGCATGTCTCCTGGGGCATTTGAAGGAATTGTGCTCTTGGAGGGTGTGCTATGGGAACTGAAAAGCTGTCTGTACACTTGTCGTAGTGTCAGACCGAATTTGTCAGTGCTAACACAGGAGGAGACTTATCCAAGGTCTGGTCTTTTGGTATCAGTTCCAACACGACCTTCCTCTGCTCAAGTATGTCTTTAAGATGATCAAATGAAAGTAGCCCTGTCTGGTTTCCAGCAGAGTGCAGCAAAAGGTGTTTGTTGCAGCAGAAAGGACATTATGATCCTTTTTCGTATACCCCCAGCATCTGGTTGAATAGTAGATGAACAGTAAGATCCATCAAAGGAAGGATTAAAGGAACGTAAGTCGGATAGGCAACTATGCTGAAATACCCAGAATTAACACACGTACCATCAATGATGACAGCTGTCAAGAGGCTTTTCTTCTTGTTAGTGTATCTGTCGTGGGCCTGGCACTGTTGGTCCCTGAAGCCTGGCACACCTTTCGGGCAGGGTAAGTTCTCACACACAGTGTGCTCCACACTGGCTCCCCGGCAGTTCTTCCCACCTGGCCCCGGGCTGCCATGGGAAAGATAAACCAAGGTCAGGAGGAACTGCACAGCTTCTCACAGGCACGCTTTTGCCTAATTTCCCCTGTCCAAGGCAACTCTTGAAGTAGGAGGAAGGATTCTACCTCTCCAATGTTCCTTGTTGGAGGGCAAATCCTGCTCTCAGTGGATCCAACAGAAAATTATTTGAGTTCCATCCTAAATCTATAATTAGCTTATCATAACAGATGTTTGTGTTCTGGTCACAAACCAAGGGATGTGACTAACTTTGCACTTTTGTCCTACATTTCTTCTTGGACTTCAACAACAATTCATTCCCATCCAAACCTTTTCAGACTGAGCAGGCAAATGACTGAGAAAGAGTGGAGAGAATGTTGGATGGAGAGTGTGTGTGTGTGTGTCCTCAAGTACCCAAGGCAGAGGCAGGGACCCTGGACTCTCTAACCTGTCTCCTCCCTCCACTTGCTCTGCCCCCACCTCAAACAGAGACACAGCAAATGTCTCCTCAGCACACACCCTCTGAGACTCTGTCTTCAGCAGCTTGAAATGAAAATTGCAACACAGAAGTAGCTATAAGTACCATAAGTAGGGTATCCAGAAACAAATCCGTGCAGCAGATAATCTCCATCCATGAAAACCAGGGCATTTTACATATTTGTTTTTTAAACGTGTGGGAAAAGCCACTAATCAAGCACCTGCAAAATCTATTTATCCTTATTTATGATTCTCCAGAGAAGGAAAACTCAAACTCAAGAATAGCCTGTATTTTCTTTGCAAAACAAAACAAAACAAAAACCCCAAGTTAACAAAAAACTTATCCATGCTAACAGACAATTTCTTCTGCTACTTGCTGATACTCTCACGAATTGGTCACACACCTATCTCCCTGTCTGTAACCAGCAAGACAGATAAAGTCGAGTTCTTACTTTTCCTTAACAAACGGCTGTGGAAAGCAACTCCAGCCAAATTCCAGTTTTTAGCAGTATGGCAGTTCATTCCAAAAGCTTCTCCCCTCTATCTCTCCCAGAAGAGTAATGAACATCAGGATTTATTGCTCAGCTAATTAGAAACCAAGGCCCTCACTTACATATCATTTATCTGTGTCCGTGGTCCCACCAAGAGTTGCCCTGCTCATTTACACTCTGGCTATAGGACCAGGTCTTTGATTTCCCAGCTGTGCAGGACTTGATGAAAACAGCATTCAGAACAACAGAAACATTTGATTCTGTATAGAAGAGTTTTATGCCAAATTTCAGCCTCGATCAAATTTTTACAGTAGCTTCATTAATCCCACAGTGGTTAGGGTTGTTTGGTATTTTTTAATGTAAATGCTGATCACCAATGAGACTGTAACATCACAGAGAGTCACCAGAATTCCAACAGCCTGAACGAACACCTGCTTGCACCACTAACATCTCCCCTCTGCCGCGGAAATGCACAAGGCAGCACTTGTGCTGAGACTGACGCAGAAATCTTCTGGGAGGACTGTGTCTGCTGCCTCGCGCTGGATGAGACAGATGCTCATTCCAGACAACCAGAAGCATTACGCAGGCTCCTTCCCACATGAACTCTGCACTCACATAAAGACAGCAAATACGGGAACTTTGGTTTCAGCACCATCTCTTTGGCTACAGCAGAAGAGATGCAGCTGCTGAACAAGTGACTTTCTGCATGTTTATGTGCATAAGCCCAGGAAAAAAAACAACACCACAAAAGCAAGCAGTCATGATACCCAAAGAGTAATGGAGTGTTCTCTCCTGAGAAGGGTGTCAAGCTGATGGCCATGGAGACACAGCAGGACTGCCACTCACTGTGCTCACCAGCAGCTGCTTTGGTTTTAATCTGGAATTGTCATTAACTTGTGAGGGACCTTCTATGAGTTTGCCAATGCAGACTGGAGGCAAACAGCTTTAACTGTTGGTAATAATGGTCACTGGCAATACTAAAGTAAGAGCCAAACGCATCGGAAGACAGAGAATTCCAGAGGACCCACCATTCGCAGTCAGGGGAACTGCAGGAATGTAGTGCCTTTTGGCCTGCGCTCCTCTGCCCAGCCACTCAGCAGCCTGACCTCTCTTCCCTCTCTAATTAAGGAGTAAAATGAACTGCCTCCTCCTGACGTAGGTTCTCCCAACATTAAAGAGTTGGATGCACTCATCACCTACAAAACAACTGAGCATCCATCCTACAGATCTGGTGGATACTTCTACTCCCAGTAATGCATCAAAAACCAGCATACCCAACAAGACCTTCCACCTCAGTTCCCTTCTCCCCAACAGCATCACACTTTATTCGGTAGTATGTTGATGTTTCTAGTAGACTAACTCTAGTAAAGTGCTAGTAGAATGTACAGCATTAATTCAAAGTGTTCAGGAACAGGCAGATAAAAAGACTGGGACAGGCAGTCAGATACGACATGCTGATTATGGTCTGCTCTGTTACTGCTTGGGTGGGGAATGCAGAACTACTGACAGCAATCCTTGACTTAACTACTTCTGTAATAGTACTTCAGTATTACAGGCCTCTTAGCATCTCTAAGATTAAAGATGCCTCTTAACATCTTTAAGTAGGGTACTGAGGGTTTTCACTGAGCAAGCTGAAGAGAAACAATGACAGTCACTCTCTCTGGTCTCCCACAAACAGTTACCTAGCACTTATTCATACACCCTTCTTTTCCTGCTTCACTCCATTCTTTGTGGCTTCATACCCTTTTGTGGCTTCATCCCCTTTTATGGCTTTTTGTGTCCCCTCCACCTTTCCAAGTGCACCATGTCTATCAGATTCTGCAAAAGAATCTGAAGGGAAGGATCCCTGTAACCCTGGATCCCAAGCCCTGTAAAATACAGGCTCTAGCAGCACCTGGGATTTCCAATAAACTGTGTAATTCAAGCCCACCCTGACACGTGACAGAGTAGCTGCACAAAATCTCCTGGCAGACAACTTCACGGGCATCTCCTACCATATTTATGCCGAGAAAATCCACCCACTAATGGAAATGAAGAAATCAAATCCCATTTATACTACCATGACAAGGGGGGACTGAAGGGTGGAGATCTCATTCCGATGTTCTGTTTAAGCCAGTGGGTTTCTTTTCAACCCCAGCGTACAAGAGTAGCCCAAAGCCTAGACAAGGACACAAGGTAATGCAACTAAAAAGTCTGCACATGCAAATTGGCTCGTGACACGCTGCCTTACAACCGTTTGGAGGCAACGCATGCAAATACTCAGCAAAATTACAGAGAGGAAAAACCAAATCAAACAGTGAAGCAACCGGTTTAAAAATACTGATCATCCCACAAGCTCAAAAGTCAGCTGGCAGGAGGAGAGATTCCAGTTAAAAAAATAAATAGCTCCCAAGATCAAATATATATAAAGTAAAAGATAAATCCTCTAGCCAATATTTTTGGACAGTGAGTAAACCAGCTGCAGAAGTGGGCTGCCGCCAGGAATTTGAAGCAAAAGAAGATCACGTGTGTATCCCCAGCCAAGAATGTATATGAGCAAGAGAATTTTAAAACCAGTGTGCAATCTTGGAGGGAGCATTTCCTGTAATTTAAGGAACGATGATGAATGGATTTAGGTTGGTCAACACTGTGGTTGAAGAGACTTTTTGCTGGCAGCAAAGAAACCTGCTCAATCCCTTTTTCAGGAAAATGAGCTGGTAAAAATAAAGCCTGGACATTATAGACATGCAATTGCAGTTCAGTGTTATTCAAGGAGAGGCTCAGCAGCAGCCAGCGATGAAGGATGGCACATGGGAGATAACAACACTTACACTTCCTCCCAGATCGGAAAAAAATCCAAGCTCAAGCAGAAAGCATGGGCTTATTTTGTAGTCTCTGTGCCCACCGCTCTCTGGGTGAGAGCAAATGTTCCTTTTCATGTGCAGCACATCCTACGGTGCAGAATATCTCACGGTGCTTTACCAGCTCAGCCACCTGACACTACGACTGTCATCAGCCTCTCTCTCACTTGCCAAGCCCAGAGGCAGCCCTTGCTGCAAAACTGCTCTCTAAGACATATTGGCTCGATTTGGTCTGTAGATACAGACCAACCCCTCCTCATTCACTGCAGTGCTGGAGAGGAAACACAGCATCATTTTTTCTGCCAAACTGCAAGTTTTTAATTCAATTTTATCTATGTTTGAATCATTGCAACGGGCCACTTCCAACTGCAACCCTTCGAGCCACATAGAATCTACTTCACTTTGAGTCACTCCAGGATTTTGACTTGATCCTTGCTGCTTGTGAACAAGAAATCTTTCATGTCCACTTCACAGCTCTGTTGCCCATTTCTTCCCTGTCTAAGCATTGCATGCAAAAGGAAATTGGCATGATGTGAAGACTTACGGGGGATTGTCGCATTTCCGCTGTCTGAACCGCACTCCGGTGCCGCACGTCCGGCTGCACATGCTCCACTGACTCCACATGCTCCAGTCTCCATCAACGTGCTCAGGGATGGGAGTTTTACTGACACACTCCCCAGCTCGGCACCACTGAAATGCAACTGTGTTAGTGCAGGCTGGAAAGAAGCCTTGATTTGCAAACATTCCTACACAGGTGGACTTAGAAGGATGTCTGAGAGATTACAACAAGGCCATGTTTAAGTTTCCAGAGATTCAGCGAGATGGAGGTGAGATGAAGAGAAAAGGAGGAGGTGAAACACAGAAATTCAAGTGTCACCCTCAGCGAACCCCTGAAGGTAGTTCTGTCATTAAAAATTGATAATCTCAGAACTGAGCGCCTTGCTTTATAAAGCAGGTAATTATCTAAGCGCTAAGACTTAAAGCCACACTCTTCACAGAGTCCAGGAAATTATACCCCAAAGCAATGTCTTCATCAGCAGTATTCCCAGTAGGTACAAAATAATTGAGGTATTTCGGACCTAACTTGGCTGAAGTCCCAAACAACCTCTGATTCTAATAGGTTGTGCTCACTCCTGACCAAGCAGCTTATTTTTTTGCTCTGTCCAGGATACGGTACAGCAAGCACTACTAAGCAGTCTTACAAAAAAATCGCCAGGACTCTTGCAGTTAGAAGAAAGTATATCTAAAAATTTTTTGTCTCCATTTCCTTGTCATGCTTTCCCAGACCCAGCTTTTCTTGTTATTATTTACCTTTATTTGCAAGAAAAGAAAAAGTCTCTAATATCTGATTTCAACAACGAACTTTTCCATTTTACCCTTTCTTACCTCCCCAGCCATACAACATACAAAAATATCAGAGTCCAGAGTCAGTATGCAGAGGGCTGGCAGTTACAAAACAAGTCAAGTGACTTTGTAGGCTAACAAGTTATCAGCCACACCGGGAGAATCAACATGTACATTTATGAACCAGTTACCACCTCGCACAGTCTGTCTCAGAGGTTAAACATGTCCACTTAAGTCAACTTCTGTTGGCACAGTAGGTCAGCTGGGAGGCAATTTTCTACTTTGATCTGAATTCTGGAAAATGCGTATCTGTCTTAGTCATCTGAGTAGATACGCACAGTACAGCAAATGAGACTCCAATAAGAACTGAACAGCACTGAATTTGAGCTCAACACATTTTGAGCTGCTTTTAGAAACCACAAAGTTTTTAAGTAGCCTCTTTTTCTTTCCTCATCTTTCTCCACTCCTCAAAATGCTCTCTGCACTTTCTACATCAAATGTAGCCAAGAACACTACTGCCCCAGCTTACACTGAAAAACTACCTCACTCATGAAACACCACCAGCAGCAACGAACAGAACTGACAGGAGTGAGCTACTACCTAACAGGATTCGTAGGGTGCTTGGCCTGTGCACTTCGCAGAGCAAGGCACAGCATTTTCCTGCAGTGTTTGTAGAACACCTAGACCACCAGAACTTGACTACTGGGGTCTCCAGAGGCTACTGAAATACATGTAACATAAAATCAGCAAGGCTTAACCCAATCCAGCTGTTAATTGAGCAGTTTCTGCAGAAGAATTGGTATAAAATATGGGTTTATGGTAAATACTGAACATCTCGGAAACATTACTCCACAGATAATGCTGAAAAAAGCAAAGTGACTGCTACTGAGCATTGTGATTACCTTGTCCGCGCCACATTCGGTGCCATCCAGAGGTGGGTCCAACTTTGTTTTACAGGATGTATCTCCTTCCACCAGGCACCAGAGGCCAGCACACATCAAATGCTGTAATTACAAAGCAATGAGGTGCAGTTATTACTTCTGGAGATGTCAGCTATCATTATCGGACACACTTCAAAGGTCAGGCAGTCTTTCCCAAGTGAATCCAGAGACCTCTAGTTGGTTCGGGAGCAATGATGTTTCAAGGATAGATTGGTGTTAAGTGATGGGGCTGGAGATGTAAGAGACATCGATGCATGCCGCTGTCAGGAACAAAGCCCACCCCAAGCAAGACGCGCATTATTTAAACAGATTTTACAATCTGGTCCATTATAAAAGAATCCTCCCTGGGAGGCCACAGAGGGTGCTTTGGAATCATGCCACGTGCTTAGACGTCCAACTGAAAGTTAGTAAAGGTTTGGTGGAGAGAAGAAGCTGTTAGAGACCGATGTGCTAGAGAAGGTGAAATGCGAAATGTGAGGGCAAGAAGTAGAGCACACATCGCTACCAGACTTGAAACACATTCTGGGTATCATTACTCAACACTGCGGCTCTGTTCAGCCAATGTATGTTGCAGGGATATTAACGCTGCCCACACTCGCGTGATCTGTCAGATCAATACACTTTCAGACTTTGAGAAAAAGAACCAGGAAAAGGGGCCTTTACATTGTTAGCATTTTCCACAGCGTCCATCACGCTTTGCATTCCATACAAGTGGATGATTTCAATACAGTGCTACAGATTTGAGCACCAAAAAAAAGAAGAGCTACATTTCTTTCCAGTATTGTTTGCATTTCAATGTAATGGTAAAAAGATGAGAAGCCTGACTCCAGTGCCAGCTGGTCTTGTCAAGATTTATTGCACCTCATTAAAGAGCTGAGTCAATACGCTTCAACCTTATGGTTCTTTCACAATGTAACGTAAGAGACTGTGGGTGCATGTGTGTTTTGTGTACATGCATGTTGCTATGTCTATATAAAATTGATCTATATGGCAGAGGGTGCAGACGAGATAAATCCCAATACCAAGAGCGATGATGTACAACATACGGAAACAAAAGAGTTATTGCAGCAGTATCTGCATCCTGTTTTATTTCCACGTTTCTTTCTGGAAAGAGGATTTTGCACTACTGAAACCGAAAGAACATTCACAAAATCTAGAAGCAGATGGCACAATTCAGCAGCATCTATATGGACCACAACACAGAAAGTCATCATCAAACAAACAAACAGCAGCAAATACGCCAGGGAAACCTAAATCAATGAATTTTCCAGACGTTTTACCCAAACTAATAGAGCATATGGGAAAATATCAGATTTAGAAATTTTGACTAAACAACTGTGACTGATTAGTGGTTTACCCATAGCTCTGAAAGCACGTAAGCACCAATTAGCCATAAGGACATCACATACTATTTTACAGAAAGGTATAGTAAAGCAGAAGAATTGACAAGCCAGAGATTTCAGAGCTTACTGAAAAATCGTTCCACACTCCAACTCGCAGATTCTCAAACCTCCCCCCTCCCTGGAAAGGACTAAAATTAAAAACATATCAAATAACTGTCCCCAAGTGTTACAGCACGAACATTAATCTAGGCAATAAACCATTGAAACTGAAAAGCTTCACCCCAAGATCCCAAACTTACAGCTCTGAGAGGATGCTTGTTTTCCTAGTTGTAAAGCTACAGCGCCTTTGCATCTGGTTTAGCTCACTGGGGTCTAAAGGTGATGGGTTATTCTTTTTGTTAAGACTACACATATGAATGATTTAAAAGGATTCAAAACCAGTTAAGGTCTGTCACATAAAAAATGCATAAAAGCATATCACAGACCTAAGCAAAAGGTATCACAGGAGGTTCTAGTCACAGTGGCAGGATGTGCTACGTGTAACTACAGGGCATAGTTAAATGCTGTCTATGAACACGGTAGACTTGTTAAACTCTAACAGCTTCTTTGCCTTTACAAATAATTGTACTGGTGACCCGTAAATGCTGCTACTGTTAGGCCAAGTTCAGGACCTAACTGATGCTCTGGACCCTCTCTTCTCCCTTGATGACTGTGGACAGTGATCTTGTGAAATCACTACTAGCAAACCCCCCTTTCAAACTGCAGTTGGGGAATATCGATATGTAAAATGAAGGGAAGCTTCAGAGATGAAGAGTGCCCCTCTCTTACGTATAACCCCAAAACTTCAAAGCAGAATGCGATGAGAAACCCTCCAGCCTGATCTCTTCAATGACCCAGACAGAAACTTCACCCAGTGGTTCCAGAACCTCTGCTTCTGCTTTCGGTCAGAGAGACATCCTGGCTGAAGTCATAATGGAATCCACTGCATCCCTAATTAAGTTGCTCTAGACACATAAGTATCTGTGCATTATGCAAGGCCAGTATTTGTTACGTTTCAGCTTCAAGTCCCCGAACTGTAGAAGATGCACGTAAATTAGGGTTAAATTCTCTTCTTTGATGTAGAATTGGGAGAAGAAAGAGCAGGATGCCTGTGGAAACAGAACGTCGTAAAAACGAAGCAGGTTTTTGTACAGTTTTCGTTGCCAGCCGAAATTTCTCCCTAGCCCACGAGAAGGGGGAAGGTGATAAAGCCAGGTAACGTGCCCTGGTGTGAGCCATGGCCTGGGGGAAGCACTGGGCACAGATAACCTCAAATAGGTGTGTTTGTACCAGCAAAACTACAGCATTGAGCCCAGCAGATGCAAATATTCCCATACACATGTACATATATATATATATATCTCTATATATGTTTGCATGCATATACACACGTATACATGCAGACACACATACATTTATAGGGTGATAAAGAAAGGAAAAACTTCTCTTAGCAACACCAACTTTTCTGAAATTTCCCCATCTTCAAGGTATGGAAAACACAAGGGTTCTATAGTATCCTTGGGTTTGACTCAGAATACTAAATGCAAAGCATATTTCAGGAAACAGTTACAGAAAAATCTGGTAACTGCGCTTCAGCTCTGTGTTCTGGTGCCATACCACTACAAAGCTCAACCCCTCGCTAGCGCAGTCCCCTGTATTTAAAACAGCACTTAGGTACCCCGGCAAAGATTAAACCATCAGCTTCAGTAGCGTGTGTTCCCAAGATGTTTTATCATGTTAATAGCTCATTTCCAAAGAGATCGTATATCCCCCCCAGCTACAATAGAAACCACCCAAAAAATCCCCATTAAACTGGCCTGTAGCTACCAGTCACAGTGACTGACTTTTTAATAGCTGAACAGCCAGCTTTGGGGGGAAATACCACAATGAGAAGTGGCAGGATTTGAAAGGCAGTTGCTTGTATACGAGAGGCAATTCAGAGCTTATGCTGGTACAGAAGAAGCCATCGAAAGAGCTGTGTTACTGCTCATTGTAAATTCAGCAACCAGACATTAGACGGCAGGTCTCTGCCTGCAAAGTCTTCCCTAAAGCATTCAAGAAGTGCCAGTTAGGATTTTCCAATGATAGGTATTTTTCACTGGAAAAATATTGATTTGTTGAAACTGTCTGTGGGGAAAGGTCATCTTTGGATCAGCTCCCAGTTTGAAGTATATCCAAGAGCAAAATAAAATGGTTGCTGAAAAGTAGTATTTCCATAAAACTTTAAATTTCCTTTTTTTAAAAAAAAGAATAATGAAATGCCTGTTCAGCTGAACCCTTAAGGAATCTATACAGACAGAAAATAAAAGAAAAAAGAGAAATAAAAATGGAATTTTTATAAAGGTGCAAATGTCAGAGTCTCAAAAACTCCTGGAAGACAGGAAAACTTGTCTGCACAGCTGTTAGAAACCAGTCCTGCGAGAGGTCACAGTCCGGAAACTGCCAAGCCAGGAGATATCTGCTCGGCAGGTGAACGGCGCCTCCAATTACAGGCATTAATAACAGCATCTATTTGAGAATGGGGCCTTACTGTGCCAGGTGTTTTCTCTTCCTCAAAGAACTTGCAATCTAAACAGACTCCTGGAAGCTTGGAGATAAAGCAAGCTTTATTCTGCTGTTACACGTGCGAAGATGAGGAAAAGAAAGGGCTTAAATGTCTTGCTGCAAGTCTGCCGGGACGCAAGCAAGAATGCTGCTTAGAGCTCCGCGGCTCAGTGTCACAGCCACGGGTTCACACCGCCGGCTCTGGCTGAACTTCAGGGTAAAACCAGAAACAACTCCTGGGATACTCCCAGGAACACGTCTGGCTGTGGGCCTTCCCACCTTCCACAGCTTTTCATACTTTTTCACGACACATACCATTGCTGAAGACGGTGTTTACCTTACATGTAACTCCATCCCACACGTGTGCCAGCAAGGCCTCGCAGCGGGTGAAGCGCTACGACCACTCGCACGCGGCTCTAGGGAAGTAATCTATTTTAGGTTCTTTAACTCAGTGCTGCAGCTGGAAATGAGGAGAAGCCAGAATTAATTCAGCCAGTTCTTTGCCCACAGGCAGTTAGTCTAGAGTCTGCTAGTTTCTGGGTGAGCTATTGCATCACCACTGTTACTAAAATCAGCATGAATCTGCCCAATGACCTCATATGGTCTCAGAGAGAAGGGCTCATGATACTTTCCCGCCTCGAAGCCTCAGATCAGTCATTACCTATAAGGGGCAACTTCCAAATCTCCGAAGCATAAGAATGAGAGTGCAATAAAGAAAGATGTCCTTCCCATCAGGGAACAACTCTACAGAATCTTGTTCACTCCCTACACATTCAACTCCCTCACATTGGATTCATCCAAAGAAACACTTATTTCTCCTAGAATTTCCTGCTGCCTGTTGCCCACTGGAAAGAGGAACTCCTTATTTCTAGCAGCAGGACTAAACCACTATGAAACCAATTTTGCTGTCAAAATGAGGGGATTATGAAAAAGGGTTTAGAAAGAGGAAATATCCTTAAGGAAGAGGAGTAGGAGATCACCTAACACACAGGCAGGCATATAGAAAGGCTGGCTTTCAATGAAGTATCAGATCTCTTTTATTTTGCCAAGGTTTTGGCTTGGCATACGGCTAGCCAAAACAGAAAATACGCTTGTAAACAGAATCGTAATTAACACCCATTGAGTACAATGATCACA